TTCTTACTTATAAAAATAGAAGTAGTCAGATAACGCTGCATATCATATAAGGTATCAGTGATAAGTAGGTTTTCTTTTTTGTAGTCGAAACCTTACGTGTACGTAAACAACTGGCCGTATCGTATCTATCCCTAGACCTGTTATCATGAAATATTAGGTGTTGATACTCCAACCCCCCACACACACATTCCGGTGGCTCAATGCTTTTAAAATAACATAACATTAATATATTAAATTATGTAATAATTATCAAAACAGTTAAAATCAGACGATAAGTTCTTTAATTTTCTACTTTTATACTACATTTCAGGAGCAACCAACTTGCTCAAGAGTAGCCACTGGAGATACGAAACCGGTTTGGAAGAAAGTTTTTCATTTCAGGAGCAACCAACTTGCTCGAGAGTAGCCACTGGAGATACGAAACCGGTTTGGAAGAAAGTTTTTTATTTCAGGAGCAACCAACTTGCTCGAGAGTAGCCACTGGAGATACGAAACCGGTTTGGAAGAAAGTTTTTTATTTCATGCTGTGTGTTATTCTTCTTGAAGTGAGTTTTCAATACAAGCTTATATGTTGCTATAAGTGTGTCGTGCTAGCGCTGGACTGTGTGAGTATACATATAATGGGTGATTTAATATGGTAATTTAATATTTTCATATATTCTTCTCCTTACTGGACTGTGTCAGTATACATATAATGGGTGATTTAATATGGTAATTTAATATTTTCATATATTCTTCTCCTTGCTGGACTGTGTCAGTATACAAGCTTAATGAAATTTATATAACTATGTAATAAATATGGTAGTTGTCTGGAAACGGTTACCATGGTTTGATGAGAAGAAAAAAAAATTACAGTTTTTTTCCGTCTTTCATGAAATCACAAAATATATATGTTTTGATTTCAATTTTTCTTTTATTAAATTTATAAATGCTTTACTCAGCGTAGACAGAATTATACAATTAAACGTTATTTTTGTTTGTTTTCAAATAATCTCACGTGTTAATAATGCTTACTGGCCATCAGAAGAAAATGTTACTTTTTATTTTAATTTCACTAATATATTTGTCCCAAGTTAGATATAATTATTCCAATAGAAAGTTGATAGTGTTTAGTTCGAATCGTTCAAACGTTATCGTGTGACATTTCTTCTTTGTACTAGGATTATACCCGATGTATCAAATTCTAAATTGTACAAGTCACAATATACGCGTCTGACACTTTCATTTATACAAGGGTAAATCACTAGATACGGCTTATAGGTGTAGGTTCGTTTGTTTTAGAGCAAAACTACATTGTGTTACCTGCTCTATCTATCGTTGGGAATCGAACTCTGAATTTTAGCGTTGTAAGTCTGTAAACTTACCGCTGATCCCCCGGAAAACAAAACTACTGGCATTTCTACACTTCGTGTAAAACAGAGAAACCAAACACTTTCAGTCCGATCAGTTAAAGTCACAAACAAGTGACTATAGTACGTAAATATTGTGAAACAAAGAGTTGAGATTGTTGAAAAATGACAGTACATATATATATACGGATTTGGGAAACTCCGAATGAAGGATATTCAAATCCTGTACATATTCAATCGTCACATCGTGTATGAGGACCATTTTGAATAATGTATCTTAACTGTTTTTACATCGTGAATCGTGGAGTAAAGTAAGTTCCCGAAACGTGCGGTTCTTCATATTGAATGTTTGAACAAGAAGGTTGATCCTGTGATCCTCACTTGCTTATTGTGAAGTAAGTTCCCGAAACGTGCGGTTCTTCATATTGAATGTTTGAACAAGAAGGTTGATCCTGTGATCCTCAGTTGCTTATTGTGAAGTAAGTTCCCGAAACGTGCGGTTCTTCATATTGAATGTTTGAACAAGAAGGTTGATCCTGTGATCCTCACTTGCTTATTGTGAAGTGGAGCCGATAAAACCTAGATATGATTGGTGGGAACATAAATCCTCAGTTGCTTATTGTGAAGTGGAGCCGATAAAACCTAGATATGATTGGTGGGAACTGTAATCCTCAGTTGCTTATTGTGAAGTGGAGCCGATAAAACCTAGATATGATTGGTGGAAACTGTGATCCTCACTTGCTTATTGTGAAGTGGAGCCGATAAAACCTAGATATGATTGGTGGGAACTGTAATCCTCAGTTGCTTATTGTGAAGAGAAGCCGATAAAACCTAGATATGATTGGTGGAAACTGTAATCCTCAGTTGCTTATTGTGAAGAGAAGCCGATAAAACCTAGATATGATTAGTGGAAACTGCAGTTCTTTGCTGCTGCTTATGAGATTTAATTTTAATTTTAATTAATCTTTGGTTTGTTATGTAATACTCACTATAATCGTGTACAAATATATAAGAAAATCTACATCTATGTTTTCATATTTTTTATTTTGTGTGGCTGATATTTCCCGAGTTTTTTTGTTTTTTTTATCACAGCCTGTCTTTAGATTGATTAAGGAACTTATGGTTTCCTATTTCTCTTAGTCTTCGGATCCATATCTGTAGCACGTGGTTACACCAACTAAATGTTCAGTCTTTTCTTGACTTCATGAGTTTGTCCTAACTTAGCATAGGAACCATTAAAACATCTTAGCGTAATGAAGTGTCTTATGGTCAGAGGACCTCGTATGCTTCACTAACTTAACATAGAAAGTATAGCTTAAGGAAAGGAACCGTCTTAAAACGTCAACCTTTTTCGAGGACTCACATCTCACTTTACTTCCAAGCTCAGGTCTCAATTCTAATTTTCTTGCAAAACTTTGAAGACGATCCGCGAATCCTTTGAGATCATAAACAGTCACTACAGAGAAGTAACGTTATTAAAGCTGGCGATAATCTTACATCTGTTTCGAAACTGCCCTAAGTAAAAGAGAATTTTGAAAACTTCACAGGAAATGACTTGTAATTTGTAAACAGACACCAATACGATATCTCCCAAGCTTGAGAAGACAACATTAAAACTCATATTTCACCTTATATAACAGAAACAGTACAGTGTTAATATATGTAGGAGAAGCTACAACCAATAAATGAAAATAAATATAAGAAATTGTGGGTCCTATAGTGACCGGTAGGGAAAGCTGTTACATATAAATTGTGGGTCCTATAGTGATTGGTAAGGAAAGCTGTTACATATAAATTGTGGGTCCTATAGTTATTGGTAAGGTTTATATGTAACAGCTTTTTGTGGGTCCTATAGTGATTGGTAAGG